TTATGAAGTTTGGATTTTTGGCAAATTAACTCATCCGGAAAAGAGTGGAATCCCCTTCGGGAACTTGCGAGTGCCCTTATTGTTAGTAGACAGTAGAATGTGGGCATGTTGATGTTGAACACAATCAAAAAATCATAATTCGTTTGTCTTTGGAACTGAATTTTGTAAAATGCTTATAATGGTGACACTTTCACGTAATTACAGTTTGTATTCATATTATTTGATTGAAGAGATCAGATCTAACCGCTTTTCAGTCGTTCAACTGATAAATATGTTTTTAACCAGCGTTAATTAATGATTTGAAAGTTTAGATTCTGTCGAAGCAAGGTAAAGCTATAATGCAATTTGGTGTTGCGGGTACAGAGGATGGACAGTTGTTCTATCCGAAGAAAGTAGTTGCGTTGAGACCACGACCATCACTTCCCGATGGCGCATATATCGTTGTNGTTTCATTATGTCATTATTATTTTATTGATTTCATCTTAAACTTTTTATTGGAATGTAATTTTTCGGTGATTGAAACCACTAACCTGTCAGCCTTGTAGTTTATGAGCTGTTGATATGTTTAAGGGGAATCCCGAAAGTCATATTCGTTTACTAGTATGACTTAGCTGTGTATTTATTTTTTTCATTCCATCGAATTAATGTTACCGTTGTGAACAAATGTACATATGATAGTGATTCTTTTCGAGCAGAATCGATGTAAACTTAATATTCGAATGAAAATCAAAAGCTCAAAGCTATGAGAAATGCAAATTCCAGTGGCCACCTATATCGAGTATGTATCAGCATTGACCGTAAATGAATCCGGTCATTTGGTTGTCTTCAATAGTACTGGTGCTATGTTCGTGCTCGATATTGATCAAGGTCCTACAGCGAAGGTGTTGAAGTGGGCTGATTGCGGGAAGGTACTCTGTGAAGCATCTGATGTGTCTGTTTTTGAGGGTCTTTACTATGTGACCGACTATAAACAGCATTGTGTTGTTGTGCTGACAATTGATGGTTAGTTGGTTGAATCGTTTTGGTTTATTAATTGATTGATCGATTGAAGAATATCCACAAAATCGATCATTCGTGTAATACAATTAGGTGAATTGGTGCGTCGGTTTGGTGCATTCCAACATACACCGTACCCGATCGGAGTCGACGTATCGAAGGCTGGCGATGTGCTTATTGCTGACTCACACGGCAATCATTTTCACATTTTGGTTTGCTCGAAAACTGGTCAACGATTGCAGGATTTCGAATGTACACAACTTAAGGTTTCGTTTGTTCTCATTACTTTTGTTCATTCTGCGTGTTGCTACTTCCATTGTTAATATACAGCCTCGAAAATTATCATTACTACCGATCGTAGCAGTATTCTCACTACCCTTACTGCCGTTATCAAACCTAATTTTTTTCTTACTTCTCTGCGAACTGATTTCTAATTATTTTCGAGAGATTAATTCTTCGATGCTTGAAGCTGATCATTTGTTGAAGGTATCACGTTGCGT